ACTCCAATGTCAGTGAAGTACCTAGGTGTAACACTCAGTTGTGATCTATCCTGTTCATCCCAAGTTACAGATGCCTTTACAAGGGTGAGGAAGCTTTGGTTCCAGGCCGTTCGTTTGCGATCCTCCTCGGTCCCCCGCTACTTAATTCTGAGATTTACCACCGCATGTGTGTTACTCCCTTTGGACCTATTGCTCCACTGTGCTATTTTTTGGTTTCCTAATAAAGCACTTCAAAATCCTAGTTAGGTCACTGACGCAATCTCGGTATAGGGAAATTCCTAAGCCGACCTTTGTTGAGATTCTTGTGTCCACACACACACTAATTCATGCATAAGACTTGCTTCGGGAATACGTACTGATACAAGTCACTCTCTTCATGGTGCATTGGCTGAGTGTGTATTAACATCCACAACCACAAAAAGATCCATTTTTGCCCGCACAAGAGCTTACCACTCATTCATTATTCCATATCCGGCATGCTTTTGTGCGACCAGACATCTGTTGTCCCGGAGCTTAAAAACAAGTTTACATCGTAACCAGACTGTCGTGTATGCCACCTATTACTCTACTTGTGTATTTACTGCTTTATTTCTTTTGCTATGCTGAAAGCGTGTGTGTGCATAAAGCAGTCTTGAATTGAATTGAGTTTAGCAAGATGGGGGAGAAAAGCCCTTCCTCACTCACCACAAATTGAAGTGTTCTTCAGGGAGCTATTTTGTCCCCATTCCTAGTATCCACCTTCAGTAACTTCATTCCCGACGGGGCCTACAAATTCGGTCGTTGTTTCTGATTCCTGTCCACCGGACTTATCAACACACATGCTAACATTCACTATTTTATTACCCCCTTGTGTTAATTTAGCAGTTTTCATTCTGTGAATCGCGTCATGACTACCTACGCTCATGACATTGTAAAAAATCTGCGCGTTTTCACGAACGTGAACCTATCATTATTTTCTGGTCAGTCTGTATGGAACAAATGGAAAAGAATCTAAAGAAGAGGAAGTAGTTCCACAAGAAAGCTCCGCACAGGATGGAGGGTTGCAGTTCGATGGAAAAGGCCCAGCCGTATGAGTATACCTCTTTGATCAGGGCAAACATCCGTTCGTTTGTAAACAAACTAGAAGAGCTTAAAGTTACAAAAAGCTGTCGCGAATACGCCCATCTTGGTGCCATTATGCTACAAGAAACCTGGATGCACGATGACGTGGAGGATACATTTGTGGCACTTGACGGATCTACAGTGCATCGCGTTGACCGCTCACACACAGACATCGAGGCGGTGGTGTTATCACATACATAAATTATTCATGGTGCGCGTCGACAAAAATTATTTTTCCTCATTGTGCGCAGCGCATTAGCTGTTTAATTGCGAAATGCTGGACTCGATATTTGAGTGGCTATCGTCCGATTCTATTAACCAACATTTATATTTCTCCCAGCTGCCGTACAGCTAGGTGATGCTGAAAATGTTTATAACGATTTTGCAACTACGGTCATTGAACATCTAGGTTTTACTCTGCATTTGTCGGTGACTTAAATCGATTCGACACTAGTTTTATTACCAATCTTGGACTGAAGGCCATTGTGCAGTCTGCAACAACGTTACAAGCCGCCTTAGCATTAGTGTTGGTTAACGACTTAACAACCTATTCTGTTTGCATCAAGGCACCGCTTGGAAGCTCAAATCATGCCACAATAAAGCTGTCTCCCATAACCTACGGCAAAACGAATTACAAAGATATTATCCGCTGCAAAGATCGCAAGTTAACGCAAAGATAATGTCTACCACGTAACATTGAGCTACTACGCGAAACTGTTGCTTCTACAGATTTCAGGATAGTTTACAACTGATGTATCGAAGTTCTGTGATCATTTAACCAACTACTCGAACTTTTGCTTCGATATTTGTTATCCTGCAGAAACCATTTGCATTCGCGCAGATAGGCTGTCATGTCGGTGCCTTTAAAAACTGCGCAGACTCAAAGAAAAAGCTTACAAGCGCAAAAACGCCGCATCAAAAAAGTCCGTATCGACTGAGGTAAAAAGAATGAAATCTGCCGCCTCAACCATATTTATGTCCAAATTCCACCTAGAAAGAGTAATTGTAGAGAAATATGGAAAACGATAAAGAACCTGAACGGAGTAGTCAGAAGTGTCGCGCACAATGCTCTCGATGTGGAGAAATTAAACAGCAACTTCTGTGGTCATATAACTGATTCAGAATCGCACTTACTGTCTTTACCGTTGCAACTCTCCCCACAAACTTCACCATCTATAGATAGCGTAACAGATCACAAGGAATTAACACGGATACAGTCGTGCAAAGTGCTCGGTCCGGACGGACTATCTCCTATAGTCCTCAAGAAATGTGACGGTGTCTTAGCATGGCCTTTGTCTGAACTGTACACCATGTGCCTACATCAACGCAAAATAGCCGACTGCTGAAGAAGCGCCCTCAGTACACCTGTACCAAAAAAAGGAACGTGTAAGTACTAGCCCATTGCTTGTACGTCGGTGGCTTTGAAGACATATGAACGAATTATACTGGAAGGAATGCTTGTCAAAACCCACTCAAGTAATCCTTTTCAGTTCGCCTATCGTAGTTCAAGGTCTACTTTGGATGCATTAACCTGTCTTGTACACTCCGTGCTTTCATCACGCGATAGAAAAAAAACAAGCCCACGCGAATCTGTTTCCTAGATTACAGCAGCGCTTTCGGTTGTATAAACCGCGAGCTGCTGTTACACGATCTGCACGTTTCTGGAGTTCACTCTACATTAGTACATTTTCTTGCAGACTAATTTGCCAATCGAATGCAGTTTAAAGAGGTTGGGGGGGGGCGGCCCTTCATCACACATCACAAATTCATGTGTTCTTTAGGGAGCTACTTTGTCCAAAACCCGATCTTTCACTCAACGCATCAAAGGGGAAATATATTCTTTTCGCGCTGTCCAAGGAAAACTGTTATCAACAGCCCCTGACGCACATCCCGCATCTTTGTATTGACAGTATTACTCTAAACTCCTGTGCATTAGTGAAATATCTCGAAGTTATACTAAGCCGGAACGGGTGTCACGTGGTCGCATCACGTGAATGAAACATTCACTAAAATCAGGAGACTAACGTTCTACGTCTCCCGAGTTAGGTCTCCATCCGTGCTTCGTTACTTGATTCTACGGTTTGGCACTGCTCGAGTAACATGCACTGAAGGTATTGCTCACCTGTGATATTTCCTGGACTCCTAAACGAGCAATTCAAAGTGATCAACAGGTCGCTGAAGCATCTTGCTCGATGCAGCGGAATTGCCACGATCGTGGTTACTGACATCATTGTATCCAATCATGTTCGCTCCTGTGAAAAACGCTTCCAAGATACCCACTGACGCCAGTGACCCTCTCCATTGTGCATTATCGGAATGCACCTCGACTTCTCCGACCAGACAAAAGTACAAAGTCATTGATGTCCGCAGATGGGCTTACGTTACGGCAGTTGTTAGATTTTTGTCACGTTTTCTGAGGGATTAAGATGCAGTTAAACAGGACTTCACTGGCAGGCTGTATCGATTATATCATCATTGCCACCTTTCTTAATTAGTGGCGTACCATACAGATTTGTTAAATTTTTCTTTAATTTTATTTGTGACCTTAGCGTGTGTGTGGTAGCTGAATATTCACTCTTCACGGGTGCATAAAGCGCATCGTTCATATAAAGTCCAAAAGGAACTTTGATGTATTCCAAACCTGGATTGCTTACATGAGGACACGGTATCTCTATTCCCTATTTATCTTGCTCATTTACACTGCTTTACTGTGCCCTACAAGCGGTTAACATATCCTATATTTATTTCTTTCACTCGATCACTGATACATACGTGACGTTTCAAGGTCATTCTTATTATTATGTTACTGTGACACTGCCCAAATACTCGATCTGCCCCACGCCGTGCAGTTTCTGCCCACGTGCATTACGATTGCAAAACCTATTCGTAAGTCATGTACTGTATTTAATATGTCTTATAGAACCACGGTTACAGGATAATTCGTTTTCTTCTTCTGCCCAGACCGTGCGTTAAGTCTAGGTTTATGTGTTCGTAGTTCTAGTTTATTTTTCGTATGACGTACTTAATTTAGGCTTAGTATCGTTGGTACAGTTTACTTGACTTGATTGACTACATCAAAAAACAATCACAGAATAAAGCGATGCGGGAGAATCGATAAACGAAATGTTAAGTTCACTCTTTCAGTTTCGCGGCAATAGATAGAACTTTTGTTCGGAGGACCTTTCATAGCAATTAAGGCGAAGCGAAGATGATTCAGTCATGCAGAGGTGGCAAAAAATTTCTAGAAGCCAAGGACATTTATTAAACCTGTTCCTAAAACAAGAGCAAAAGTTTGTGTCTGTGGCTATCCACAGACCTCATTGGAGTTCAGTGGAGATCGTTGTCAACCGGTTTGGGAAGTTATATGAACCGAGATCGGAGTATAAGTGAATCATGGCCGTCGGTGGGAACACAGTAAATTTATGTGTATAAATCCTTCGATGATTATGTGGAAGAATTGCGGAGTAGAAGAGTGTGTGGGGCTAGGAGAACAATGCGCCAGCATGAACTGAAAGAGGCAGCCATTTGAAGCTTGTATGAAGCTTAAACAATCGAATTACACCAAATGAACTGAAATGAGATTGTAACGTTCTTTCACACAGCCAGTTAGAGACCGGATAATATAGAGAGGATGAATAGGTAAACACGGGTTATTAGTGAGACGTTATCGCCACCCACAATGGGAACGTCACAATGTCATTTCACTCAGGGGCATCCAGTGAGAAGAACCGAGCTGCTGGATTGCATTTAGCCAAAGTATTGGTGTAAAATGATAACTGATGTGAAGAGAGAAGCTCAAGCGGTGGAAACAAATTGGACGGTGCGCGGGATTAGACAAAGTAAGTCCAACGCCGACCAACTATTGCGCTGGTACGCATTGGGAACACATGGTCACTCACTTGCCAGTGTCAACAGCAGAACGTCGACGACCGATAGAGTCCAGCTCATCGATGAAAATAATCGCCGGTGAATGTGATCGGGCAACCCGGAAGAGTTGACGAATGCGCGAAGCGCCAAGCCCTCCGATTACTTCAACGAACTCAGAACCGGCCATTGAGAAAAATGGGACACCTGATTCGTTGGCCAAAGCTTTAACCTAAAAGAGAGAACAAACCTGTACAGACATGTCCACATAATTCTAAAGAAGAGTTAGGAGAGGAGGAAAAAGGAAAGACAAGACGGAAAAGTAGTGCAAATGGCATGAGCAATAGGAAGAAGAAACGCAAAGGTTGGCATGGAACACAAACAGTATAACTGGTTACTGGAGAGCAAGAAGGCATAGTCAAGAAGACTGATGTGACGACATTTCAGTGAATGGACCAAATGGGACACAAACACAGTGGAATTACAAATAGATGTAATTAAGCGCAAGCTAGATAAAGTCAAACGGTCATTGATATCCGGAGAAGCACTGAAGAGCCGTGACATGTCGGTAGCGCGAATCCCTTCAACATGTAGAGAAGAGAGACTTACAAGTTGTACGCAGAGACCAGATTAGAGAGGATTCCGGTGGCGGACATGGCTAAGTGACGAGCTGGATAATACGTGGATCATTCTCCACTAACTTAAATGTCGCTGTCATGCCGAGGATAGAATGACATCCCAAACCAAACAATAGCTTTCCAAACTAAAGCTACTAGCTAAAAAACAACAGCCATGACTGAGCGTCACAGGCAAAACACACCTGATCAACTAGGTGAAGATTGACACGTGCCTATAGGGTTTCGAAAACCCGTAGGTCGATTGGTGACTCGAGTTTGAAAAGCTGTTGATCGAGAGGACCCCACGCTGTCTATTGTGCGGATAGACACGTGCAAGTCACTTAAGAGTGAGCTGTGAGCACCCAGTCGTGTTTGTCACTATGGCCTCTCGCGACCTGAACGACCGACTTGTAAGGGTCGCGTAATCTGATGATACCTGATAATAATCTGGGTGAACAGAATCGACGTGGGACTAGTGGACAGAGAGTGAATCACGTGCCGTCAACGCGAAGTGATAACACAGAACTGGTGCAACCTACTATGAACAAAGTTTAGCATGGTCCTAGACAAAGTAGACGTGGCTTGGATCGAACACCGCAGATGAACGGCGCGTGGAGAAAACTTCGAAATGGCTACCTGGTTCGCTTTAATATGCCGCCATAACAGGCATGACTCAGTATCCAATGTAACAGTAAAATTATATCAGATACAGTTGCGTAGTCGATGAAAGTGTAGATGGAGACGGAGCGAATACACAGTCGTGGAAGTAAAAGTAATGAAATAAACGACGGTAGTAGATCGGTACTCAGTACTGATGCTTCGCTGACATACCATCACAAGAAACCATTTAGTGAGAAGCAGCAATAAGAAGTGGGTCCTAAGACGGGAGTAGAATACCTTGAGCTAAGATTCATGACAAGGCGGACGACCGCAAGTAGCCAGCTATCGTATGAAAATGAGGTGATATGCCTTATACCTTTAACTAGCCCCACGGAAAGCCATGTTTCGTAAGGTTTATAGCAAGAAGCAGATTGAATCGCATGGACCACAGGCTAGAAGATAAGATGACATGACACCACCTGACCTAGTGAGCTGTGTCCATTTCGGACTACTAGATTGATTCGCCTCTCGGCAGTAATATCGCGAAAACAGTAACTGAAAAAGACAAAGGCCTCCTCGATAAGCGGTGGGTGGGCACAAATGGGGAGTGTTGATCCTTATTTGCTGATTTAACGAACTGGACTTAGTATAAACCACCTAATAGGCAAATGGACATTTCACCGTTGAGGATATCAAAAACTGACTGCTTTGAGCATTTGTCACCATTTACGATCACAATATCCGTATCTCGATCCACATGAGTAGATGAAATTTGATTGTGACGGCCGCCGAGATATTTTCGATAGGACACCTCAGGAACGGTTTGTTCATAAATATTGGCGTGCCCGGACAAAACACACTCATGAGACTGTACAAGAAGACTCATTAGAGTACCTTCGTTTCAGCGCTTCTGCTCATGATCAGCTGACAATAAAATTGCTCCAACCAACTGACTCGACACCGTTGAAGAAAGACAGGATGGAACCGACGACGCTACATGGCCGAATAATTGTTGTCACACCGCAACATGGTAAGCATGTTCCAAAGACAGTAAATGTGGTTTTCAAGAGTCGGTGAGATATAGCGCCGGGCATCCTGACAGAATGCGGAATCTAGTTTGAAGGACGGTATAAGTGCACTGCTGGTACGGGTGCCGAGGACAGACATGGTCGATGTTGAATGAGGGAAAAGACAAATAGGAGGAAAACGCTGGTCACAGCCTGTTGTGGGACAATACGCTACGGTTGCCCACTCCGGCTTCACGTTCAGTATCACACAGTACTCGGAGCGTGTTTTACGTATCACTGTGGAATTGCTATTACAAGGAAGGAACTGTAGGTGTAGACGAGATCTTACTGAGTAAAGGTTCAAGGTTGCATGCATGGACCGGGAGATGTGGTGTCAGACAGAAAGTGCAACTTACCAACAACGTCTTTCCAGTGCCCGGTGGGCCAAGAAGAAGAGCGCCCTTCGGAAGTTTCGCCCCAAGTGCCTGATATTTCCTGGGATCTTTCAAATAAGACACAAACTCCATGACTTCTTGCTTGCTTGCGTGCATGCCAGCAACGTCCTTGAACAAGTGGAAAGATAACAGGACAAATGACTGATGGAACACAGTGCGGCAAGTAGCTGACAAAAAAGTGAACGGTTCTTCAAACGCTCATGAGCACACTGACAACAGCACATCTTTGGTGGAAAAAAATTAAACGTATAGTGTCGTGTGCAATATTCCTATGATATTAAACATTGCTTAGTGAACACAGACTGACACTGTTAGACTTCTCCAATTTGCTGTGATTGCGGATAAAAATAATTGACTTCTCCACAAGACTTCCAGCCAAACCAAGGGAAAAATCAGAAGTCAAATGACCTTGACAAGACAAATAATCAACCGCTGCCTAAAGACATTGTAAAAATGGGGCAGATTTTTGTCGCATCTGTAGGTCGCTTAATGACCTACTTGTAGTAATAGGAAGGTCAACTGGTAAAATTAGCAGTGCCACATTGATCCAGCTAATCTTCAGAAAATTGTGTAGTCACGTGCCACCTTGGAACATGCCAGAACGCCGTAAATCGATGCAATAATCGGTAACATTCGAGCAAGCACCATTAATCCCTGGAAATCCTTACTTTCTTCCGGGCACCTCCCATCCTGAGACAGCAACCGCAGGGTACGGTGAAAGTCGGGGACTGACTTGTAGCCTCTTGATCTGTGTACTGGCAATGTAGATCCATCGCTTTAGCTGAAGTGCTCGAGAAATGGGTTTTGGGATCTCTGGTTCGGGTTGATTGCTCGATCAAGGGCAGTGGTCCATGGGCGTCGTTCGAATGTTGAAGCTGTCAACCAATAAGCGAAACGGGAGATCCGCATGTTTTATTTCTTCTGGCTGCCGCAGTGTTGACCATAAATGGTTCGCATAGCGGGCTCAGATCTGCGTTCCAACGACCAAGTCAGTTTTTTTTATCGTGCCAAACGTCCATTAGGCATGACCTTCCCGATAATCACGTACCAGTACTGATAGTCCCGGTTTGAGCGATCGCTGCTTCGCCCCATATCAACGAGTAAAGTCTTGTTATACTTTGTGGTTTCTTTCATTACCCGGGGCTCTGAGCACGGTCGAATAGCATCACAGGGTAAAGGAAGCTTTCTGTTAAGCACAGAGTAGTGGGGGGAGTTGGATGTTATAGGTAGAAATTCGTCACATCTAGACTCAATCAGACAGCCGTCACACACCCGGAAAAGTACTGTACGCGCGTTTAATCCCTTCGGGAATCGTCGGCAGTGTGCATTCCATCGGACCCTGGTAGGGCTCGAATCTGCAACTCGACTTTTGCCAGTCCGTGGTTGAGATCACTGAGCTCAATAGATTGTGCTGGCAAAACTTCATCTGGTGTTTCCAGTGCAGCCAGATCACGTGTTAGCCAGGGTTGCCGGACCTGAATAGTGAACCCTAGATGAGGCCTCGGATACGTGTCCAGCATTTGAGAAAATATGATAAGATCAAACCACAGGAATGCCTTTCGTACGAAACCGACATGTTGATTCGCGGTTCTAGGCACACCTAGGGACTGCTACGAACAGTTAAGTTGTCTTGCATCACCATCCCAAGGTCATCATCACCCACATCATCATCAACAGAAACAACATCAGCAGCAGTATATCAGCTATTTGAACTGATGCTTCACTGACGTACAACCAAGGTGAAAAACGGAACGAAGAATAATAAGAAGGGGGGACCTAACGTAAAAGCTTAATGTCCTAACAAACCTTCAAGGTCAAGCCACCTGCACCTGCTGCCAACAATATACCTTCACAAACAGCTGACTATCGTGCAAAGGCGACATCACTGCCCCGCGTCATAATCAGTCATAACCCTGCAGATAACTCAACATCAAACACACATTAAACATGCAGTCCAAATGGGAGACGACAGCAGACACACCACTGGTGCCGACTACGAGCCATGTCTTGTGACGTCTCCAGCCTAGCACAAGGCGGGTCACGTGGACTCCAGCCTGGACGGTGAGATGGATTGAGGGTACTCAGTTTGGTCGTCAGTGAGTTATTTTCCGCTTTTGCCCACCTAGTCTTACAATCCCCTACCATCTGGCAGACTAAACATGGCCCTCCTCGGTAAGCGGTGGGCTGGTTAGGTATTGTGTGCACAAGCCAACGCAACTTATTTAGTGCCATTTGTTGTTCCAAGGAACTAGCCCAAATATCACTGCCTAGCACTCGCCTACGCACATCAATGTTGCTGATGCAGCTGCCAAGATAGGTGAAGTGATCAACTATCTCGAGTTCTTTGCTATCAGAGGAGTCAAGGATTTAGCAAGTGCTCCCGCAATAACATTTTGTACTTTGAAGGTGACAAGCGCATGCCAAATGATGGAACCACTCTAGTGAGGTCGCCTAGGGTTGAATGGGCCATCCCCACGTCGTTAAACAGTGGGACAATATCTTCCTCATAATCAAGATCAAATAGTTTGCCGTCAGGCAGCACTTCAACACTTGGATCGTGAGGCTCCGCAGGGGAACACTCCATGATGGAGTCCACGAGGAAACTGAACAAAAATAGGAAAATTTGATAACACTGACGAACGTCACTTGTTGTCGGAAAGAATCGGACAAGTCACTATAGATCCTGAAGCAGTCTGTGGTGTTCGAGTACTGGGCAGGTAGAATATTCACCTATTTGATGGGAATGTTTTTCCGCATAAGTAGCTAGAACAGAAAGGGTCAAGCGACTGAGTCGAATGCATTCTTAAAGTCAAGGAACACCGGTATTGTCGGCCTGCGGTACGTGTGGCGCTGCTCTGTCCCCTGCCGCAGAGTGAAAATATGGATTAGACAGCGTCGTCCTGTCAGAAGCCTGGTTGCTCTTCCCTAATCCGTGATTCGAGCTCTGCAGTGTGGCGACGAACGGGAAGTGAGGTCAATAGTTTTGTCACCAGCGGCGTTAGGCTAATACCCCTTTGGTTAGCACAGTCGGTACGACTGCCTTTTTGTATATTGCCACCATACTCGATCCATCTCAGTTAGCTGGGATGACCTCTGTCTTCCAGACCTGTTCGAACAGGGAGGTCAATGATTTGCAAAGGACCTTAATCCTTAATTGGTGTAGGTGTGAAGGAATGCAGACCAGAAGCACGAAAACGGTCAAGGGCTGCGATCGCGTTACGGTCCTCAGCCTCTGATGAAGCCTCTAAACTAACCGTCCATGGCTCAGAATGGACCATCTGAGTGGGAGGAGGTAAGGAAACAGGGGCCTAACTAAACTGCTTTCGAAAGTCCTCAGTTCAGCAAGCCATACGCACTCCCTATTGTGCATCATGGCAAACGCGCTGTCTCTGATTGTCTTGCTGACGCCTAGTTTTCTGGGACTAGTGGTGAGGATAAGTTAGGAGAGCTTGTGGAAATTGTCTACTGCTCCTACTTCCTCTATTTCTTGAACCATAATAGTTCACAAGGCTTCCTTGTCAGCATGCAGGTCCCGTTTTGGTTCCCGTCTAATAGCCCGCCATTATACAAGCGAAAATAATCAGGAGTGGAAGACAGCTAGATGAACAAGTTTGTTTTCGGTGGTTCTCTTCAGGCTAGTATACCACAACTAAGAAAATGCACTTAAACGCGATGAATCAATGAAGCGAATTGTCCAATCAATGAGATTAAGTGATGGAACTGGCTAGGGCAACATTAATCGGGGTTAGGGCATAGTCGTTACACGGGGCGTAGAAGTTGAGGCTATGGAGCCGAATAGCGATCGACTCCGTTGCCAATAATAGGCGACATCGGAGTGCTCGCGTGTAGCGTTTAGATATAGATTGGCCGGAAGGCCTCTCGCATGTTGATTTGGTAATATGAACCATCCAAGTGTCACAGCACCGCGCTCGCTAATGTCTTTCTCACATCGGCGTAGTCAAACCGGGCAATGTTCCCGAACTCTATCAGAAAGTCGCCTGGCCGCCTTTGCAATATAATATTCGACTTCTGTATACTGCACTTGAGTTCTTAACACACGACTGGTGTATAAGTGGAGCTGACACACAGGTCATCGCATTTAAATGCCCTGTGTTAGTTGTTTTCCTATTTGCTGTGGTGCGCTAGTCTGATGAGAACCACCAAAAATAAGCTTGTTCGTGTAGCTGTCTTTTGTTGCACATGTTTGTATGTAATGTATGGGATGTGTTCATCAGCTTCATAAGATAGAGGAGGACGTTGTCGGAAAGTAGTCCGATTAAATTGCTCCTCTCGTATGTTTGTTGAGAAGACGCTGCTTCGAACCCGGAGATCGGTTTTAAGGCGCCGCTGCGACCCGCAGACCAACACTACAAGACATCTGTCTGCCACATCCTTTGTATCTTGGCGATCTCCGTAGCCTCGAGATCGATCGCACTGACATTTTCCAAGAAGATGGTCTCGCAAATGTTGCACCATTGCTATTGATCGAGAGTAGTTGTTTTACGCACATCATGTCCTGCGGCCTCTGGAACACCGAGAAAAAAGATGTTCTTGGCCACGGATTCTTTCCGGCATTCTCCAAAGTAATGATTTGTCTGTTTACGCTCGAGCCACGGGATATACAGGAAGATCGGAACAGAACAGCACCCATTAAGGAGACGAGCTGTTGATAGCAGAGCTACTTCTACTTCATCGGCGAAAGTCAACACAACTCGCAGAAGTCTCGGTTCATCATGGTGCTCTGAGTTTGGGTGACCCGCATCAAGTTAGCGGCTTAGCTACAACACCCAGCATGTCATATAAGTAGACCAAGTGGCTCACGATATCGAGGTGCTTTCTTTTAAAGAAATTTGACGTCGATTATGGAACGTCGATGCCGATTACTGATGGTACACAATGTGGTTTATTTATGATCATTTGTGCAGCCCGCGTTGAGGTCGACCAGCTAGCTAGTCTACATACAATCGTGGAGGCTATGTAAGCATAAGATCGCCTTTTTCATTTGTTTTGGGTCCAGCGGGATTAATTGATGACCTAAGTTTCTTTTTGAGATAGCGGAACAGTTTGGAGGGGGAGCGAGGCCATGGCCGCACTTG